GGAGAAGTGGCTCAGCAAGCACCTTAGGTGGCAGAAGCAAAGGGATCTGGGCTCAGAAGGGAGCAGGGAGTGAAGATGAAAGAGGAGCTATCAGTGACCCTCAGCAGTCACTGCCCAGATTCTGATCTTGCCTTCCTGTACCTCCCCTTCCCCTGTTGTCTCTTTAGTTCAGGGCACAAACTCAAGGCCTTCCATATTATATCCCCCAGAGCTCCCAACACAGCACCTTGTTTGTAGTAGTGCCCAAAACACATCTTGTTATGAGACTGAGTGTACCAGATAGTCACAGTTACAGCAGTATGAACATTCCCAAAAGAACGAAGAAAGAGGTAATTATTTCATCCAGTCCCGACACTCAGAGTGTGGGCACAATTACTGATGGAGCCACATGCTTCCAACGTGTGAATACACTCCAAGGACACTTGACATAGAAAGAAGCGATGCTTACTCCGCCACCTGCACAGGCTTGTCCATGGCCGTGTCTCAAGAGCATCACTAGTAGCAGAACGATTCTCAGCACTCTCCCTAGAGTGGCCCACAGACAGCAAAGATGTCCCACACCAGCAAAACTGTCACTGAGAGGGACCCTGCAGGGCCTGTTACCCCATTCCCAAACCCAGAAACTGGCAGGACAATTCAAAAGAGCTGTTCCCCAGAAGAGAACAATGGGCCAGCACTCACCAAGCCATCAGCGACCCAGATGTGTCAGAGGACACATCAAGAACACTGAGCTGCCGCAAAGACCACACACAACTTGACACCAGATTTCTTATCTTCACAGAGGACAGCCAGTCACAAGAGACAGGTTGTAGGAGTGATGTCAGGGACTTAGCAACCACAACTCTCGGACACAATCACCAGTAACTACATTCCTCAAGACGGTCTCTCAGAAGCATGTGCTGAATGCAGCTGCTAACACGCAACCAGATGTCCACGTCTTAACTGTCAGGACAGCAAAGGGCAGATGGTACATCACTGGCACATGAGCACACAGCTCCCATTCCTTGCATAGCGGTGCCGTCTCTATGGCATCCCTGTATCTCACCAGGCTCTAGACACCAAGCTGTGCACATTGAAGGTACGTACACACTTGTTAGAGAACGAACTAAAGTACACAGTACTCTTGCTTTCTTAACTTCAAATTCTCCGTCATCCGCGGGGATAAAATCTGTGATGTGCACATAGAAATATGTATACCAACACTAAATAAAATATTCTCTAGGCCAATATAAGACATAAGGACTAAAATACACATTACAATAACATGGAACAGTCCCCGATTCTATTAAAATACTGTCCAAGTTTTCAAAAATGAAAACACTGAGGACACTGTAGGAGAACCACAACAGAATCTGGAGTTTATTTTCCACTGGTGTTTCCCACTAGCTCTCCAAGCCTTCAAATGATTTCAGAAAATTTATCCCAGATGTGTAACACTACCACAACCACGTAATTTGGACTACAATTACTCAATTCATCACTTACCACTGCTTCCTATACTTTTTGCATTTCTTTCTCTTGAACTATTTAGGGGGATTTCATTTTTATTTGGTAAAAATAACTGTTAGAGTCATTTTGTTTAGTTAGGAAGAAACCCTTTTGTGTCTATAAAATGGCTCTGATCTCACACAGAATGATATCTTTGCTGGGTGTAACATTATTGCATTGCATCCTTTTCACAATAATTTGCTAACACTGTTCCACTGTCTTCTAGCTTACAGCCTCGCAGATGTGCACTTTAATACTACTAATCAGATTCTTTTTATCTTGTTACAAAAATCTATTCCTTCTGTCTGGAAGCTGATACAATTTCCTCTCCACTCTTAGAGTTCAGAAATTACAGCCAACTATGTCTGGATAAGGGTCTTTTTTAATTTTATGAGGGTCTCATTAATTTTACGTGAGATTCATTTGCTGAGCCCTTTCCATATCAAGTCCCACATCTTTAGCTACAGGAAGATTCTTGCTATTTCTTTTTTATTTCTCTCCCTAATGGCCTTTTTCTCCTCCTGGAATATCTCTGGAATTTGCCCTCCAAATCACTTAACTTTACACTCATAGCACCCATTTCATATTTTTTTTTCTGCGTGGTATAAATTAGTTCCTCCATTTGACCTTCCAAAACACTAACTCACTTCAGCAAGATGTGGCATGTGACCTGTCTTTGCTCTTGCTGGCAACAAAGGGTTCCTAAGACACCAGTGCAGGTCTCTCAGCGAGTGGTGGATGGCTGGACAGTGTAATATACAGTGGGAGATGATTTTATGGTGAGCTGGAGGCAGTCAGGGTGGTGATCTGGGACTTCATTGTTGAGATGTGAAGAGGTGCCTGTATTTTTTAGGTACAACAGAGATAGGCTGTCCTCAGCCAGATCTGTTTGCTTCCAGGGAAAATGTCCACCCCTCCTAGAGGCACAGGAATAAGGTGCTCCCCTGAAACTCCCTGAGTCTGTGTGCTGCACCTGCCCCCAGCTCCAGAAGTTCCAGACTTTTCATGGAAGAGGTCAAACTTCTTCCCTTGGAGCAAGCAAATCCAGTCACTGTCTAGAATCCTTTATTCCTTACATAGAAATATTTAACCCATGAGAAAGTTTACACATACAAGGTAGGGAGCAGCTTTGTGTTCCCCATGATGGTTACCCCAGTGATTTTCAAGCTTTGTTACCCATTAAAAATCCTGATGCCCAGGTCACACCTCATACCAATGACCCTGGAATGCCTCAGATAGGAACTAGGCATCAATAGTCCTAAACGTTTCCCAGGTGATTCCAATATACAGCAAAGTGTGGGCACCACAGCTTTACTTAGATAACCCAATACCCTTTATTAAATAGACCATTCTGTTTCTCACGTCTTACAGTGACCAACCATCTCAACTTTAACACTCAAAGTCTCATGTCCCAGGAAACCCTCAGTTCCAGAGGAACTGGGATGGCTGGTCACCCTGCATGTCATACACTAAATTTTTTTTTTTTTTTTTTTTGAGACTGAGTCTCGCTCT